CTGACATTTTGGTTTACATACCTCACTCCATTTCACCCGTACAATTTTACGCTCAATGTGTTCACCTCCCCACAAGAAGTTTCTAAAAATTCTAGTAAGACACACACACACACACACACACACACACACACACACACACACACACACACACACACACACACACACACACACACACACACACACACACACACACACACATATATATATATATATATATATATATATACAGAAGTAGGCAACTTAAAAAAGGAAAAGAAAAATAAAGACAATTTAATTAGTTAATTGATATAAAAAATCAACTGCAAATCAATCTTTTACCACTCATTTAATTTACAATGTCATATTCCTTTTTATATCCATGTTTTGTAAAATATAAATTTTTTAGGTGAGTTTACGAATAATTATCTAATATATATATATATATATATATATATATATATATAGTTAAATGTTAATCAATTTACTTAATAGTTATTTTGAATGGAAAAGTTTAAGTATTAAAATTGCGAGTAAGAAAACCTTGAATTATTAAAGCAAAATTCCATTGCATTTTATGGAACTATAAATTATCATCAAATAGTAAGTTTTTCTTTCAAAGTATTAATTTGTGAAATTCAAATTTTCGTGACAATAAAGTTTGTGGTTTGGAAATAAAATGGTATATTTTTTATTATCAAACATTCACTAGTGGAAAAATAGCATTCTATGACGAGTTTTTATCACGGTCGTAGTCCACCCGTCATAGTATGTAGCGCGGTGACAATTTTGTAATAAAATCATAAACTTTCTATGTCGGGTAAATTTTAACCGACATAGTAAGTGGAAAGTTTACTTTCTATGTCGGGTAAAACTTAACCGACATGGAAAGTTCACTTTCTATGTCGGTTAAATTTTACCCGACATAGAAAGTGAACTTTCTATGTCGGTTAAATTTTACCCGACATAGAAAGTGAACTTTCTATGTCGGTTAAATTTTACCCGACATAGAAAGTTTATTTGATGACGGGTGTTAGGGCAACCGACATAATATCCTCTGTTTTACACCTGCCGCGACACTCCATTTCTCACTTCACCCATAGCAGAGCTCCCCGTTCTCTTTGTATCTTCTACGAACGTCTTCGCCTTTGTACGTTTCTCCCCACCCAGCTCTGCTTGTCACGCCACCTGCCAACTCTGTACGTCGTGCCGCCTGCTGCTACTGTCGTTGGTGCCCGTCGCCTGTGTACGTTTCTCCCCACCCAGCTCTGCACGTCACGCCACCTGCCAACTCTGTAGGTCCTCAAGAGGTAAGTTTCCGTGCTTGCTTTAGCCATTGTAGGTTTACATTTTTGAATCTGGTATGTAATAATGCTGTCAAGAGATGAAAGTTCATGAGTGTCTTTAGCTAATTTAGAGACGTATTGTAAGTAGTTTAGTCATTTGAATGTTTTTCTGTAGGCATTCTTTCGTGATTTTGATTTTGAAAATTAGATTTGTATTATAATGTAGTTATTTCATTTTAAGTGAAAACTATCATCGCTTATGCTCACCCTAATGTGAGACAATACAGCTAGCCTTGATTGGAGTCAGTCATGAAATGATCCATTATAGGACAGAACTTCCTATTGAAAGATTAAAATATCCAATCACGTGACATCGCAATTTCAGCAGAACATGTTGGATGTTATCATCCTCAAACTATACTTATATGTTGTGTTATGTGACAGAAGGTAACAATGGATCGGAGTTGGATCAATTATAGACGAACAACAAATGAATATGAGAGTGGAGTAGAACAATTCCTTGAATTTGCTAAGATGAATGTTCCGGATAATGATGGAAGATTCTATTGCCCTTGTGTTAACTGCTTGAATGAGCGAAGATTACCGACTGAAGTTATTCGAGAACATGTTCTCTGTGATGGTTTCCTAAAGAGTTACATAAAGTGGACATGGCATAGTGAATTATTAAACATGCCAAGTGTAGAAGACAAAGAAGAAGTTGATCTAGAGATGGATGATCAGCTAGAGGAAATGATTCGTGAGCTTGGACAAGATGCCTTCCAACATACACATGTGTACGAGAAGTTGTCCAATGATGCAAAAAAGCCTTTGTATACAAATTGTACTAAGTTCACACGATTGTCGGCAGTACTAAAATTGTTCAATGTGAAGACAAAGAATGGGTGGACTGATAAAAATTTCACAGAATTGCTTGAGTTGTTGAGTGACATGCTCCCTGAAGGTAACACATTGCCAACCCGCAATTATGATGCTAAGAAGATATTGTGTCCAATGGGTATGGAGTACCAAAAAATTCATGCATGTCCGAATGATTGTGTGTTGTACAGGAAAGAATTTGAGAACTTTAACGAATGTCCACAATGCGGGGAATCACGATACAAGAAGAAGGATGGTGATTCTGACAATGATGTAATGAAGGGTACCCCGGCAAAAGTGTTATGGTATCTTCCCATTGTTCCAAGGTTGAAACGAATATTCACTAATGGAAATGATGCAAAGCTCGCTAGATGGCATGCGGATAGTCGTATTAAAGATGGTCAGTTGAGGCATCCGTGAGATGGATTGCAATGGAAAAAAATTGATTCCATCTTCCAAAATTTTGGTAATGATCCAAGAAACATTAGGTTTGCACTTGCTACAGATGGAATGAATCCATATGGAAATTTAAGCAGTAAACATAGTTCATGGCCTGTGGTGTTAGTTATTTACAACTTACCTCCGTGGTTGTGTATGAAACGTAAGTACTTGATGCTATCTTTGATGATCTCGGGTCCCGGACAACCTGGAAATGACATTGATGTTTTTTTAAGCCCATTGGTTGAAGAGTTGAAGATGTTGTGGGAGGAAGGTGTTGATGTGTTTGATGGGTACACAGGTGACTTATTCAAGTTGCGTGCAATGTTATTTTGTACAATTAATGACTTTCCAGCATATGGTAATTTGAGTGGCTACAGCACAAAGGGACATAAAGCTTGCCCGATATGTGAAGAAGACACATGTCACTATCAACTACAACATGGAAGGAAAACAGTGTACCTTGGACACCGAAGATTTTTTCCTTCAAACCATTCATATCGTAAATTAAAAAAATCATTTAACGGGTGTCAAGAAAATGATGCAACCCCAACACCTTTAAGTGGGGAAGAATTATATCAACGAGCAAGTGCGATTTTGTGTGAGTTTGGAAAGACGCAAAAGAAAGCCACAGGTATATGGAAGAAAATGTCAATCCTTTTTGTTCTTCCATATTGGAGGGTTCTTGATGTGAAGCATTGTATAGATGTCATGCATGTAGAGAAAAATGTGTGTGACAGTATCATTGGAACGCTCCTTAACATTCAAGGAAAAAAAAAAGATGGTGTCAATGCTCGTTTGGACATGGTTGAAACGGGTATAAGAGAACAATTAGCTCCTCAACCTCATGGTAATCGAACATACTTGCCTCCAGCATGTCACACACTGTCTAAAAAGGAGAAAAGAAGTTTTTGTGAGTTTTTACGAGGTGTGAAGGTTCCATTTGGTTACTCTTCCAATGTGAAGAGACTTGTATCTATGAAAGATCTAAAATTGCTTGGGTTAAAATCTCATGATTGTCATGTATTGATGCAACAACTTCTACATGTGGCTATTCGAGGTATCTTACCAGAGAATGTTAGATATTCCTTAACTCGATTATGCTTTTTTTTAATGCCATATGTAGTAAAGTTATGGACCCGGATGTTTGGATATGTGAATATTTGTTTGGAACTGTGATGAATAGGCAGGTCTACTCGAAGAAAGGTAGCATCTGTGAAAAAAATGCAGATACTATAAAAAAAAATAACACTTTCTACGTCGGTTATGTCATTACTCGACGTAGAAAGTACTTTCTACGTCGGTTAATGACATAACCGACGTAGAAAGTTTAACATTTTATGTCGGTTATAGGTATAACCGACATTGATAACACATACAATCACGGTTACTGTTAACCGATATAGATACTGGGGTTATAGAAAGTTAGAAAGTAAGACTTTCTATGTCGGTTATCAGTGTTAACCGACATAGAAAGTAGTATGACATGTCAAAATCAGTTATGATCGATCAGAATAGCTCTATGACTGATCAGAACCAGTTATGACCGATCAGAATAACTCATAGAAAGTAAGTCTTTCTACGTCAGTTCCCTGACTAACCGATTTCTACGTCGGTTATTAGGAACCGACGTAGAAAGACTTACTTTCTATGACCCCCGTATCTATGTCGCCGCTTTAACCGACGTAGAAAACCCATTTTAACCGACGTAAAAAGTCTTTTCTACAAGTAGTGATTACATTATCAATTAATTTAAAAAATATAATTTTATTGAACGAACGTTAAATTATAATGTCATATTATTATAATAATTTATATTAAATTTAGTTAAAACTGAAAAATAATAACAAGTAATTAAATAATTCATATTTTAGTATATTTTAAAAAGTATATAGTTCGTTAGCTTTGTATTAATAAAAAAATTCGTACATATAATCTATATAAAAGAAAATTTTAATCTCTAAGTCAATTTAAAAGAATGAAATTTAAATTAATTTCTCTCTCACCACCTTTGCCCATATTAGTGTCAACAATTAGTTTCCTATTTAAATAAGAAAAGAGATGCAAGAGATAAATATCTTGAAATTATCCGAACTGATAAACATAAATTAATGCCACTTGATTTCATTGAGTGACACCATACGAGAATCACAAGAGATTACATGCAGCAGCAATACGTTAGACTTGTGGTTCTTGTTCCTTGGTTTCCTCAACTTCTTGGACGAACTTCGAGGCACTGTTCTGCATCATGTCTTTGCTTTTGCCCCAAAGAAGAATGTACAACCCGATCATCACCAACATGGATCCCACCACACTAAACAACAACCACAAGCATGTATGGATTGAAGTCAGGTTTTTAGTTTAAGGGTAATTATTTTTTCTTCAAGAACGTTGTATAGTTAGTATATGCAAGAATTAGTTGACCTTCCAAGATGAAGCTGCTCGTGCAAGACTGGGATATCAATCATGCCCGACATTATCTGAACAAGAGGACTGAATGCTGCGGTAAAGACTGGACCCCTCTTCTTCACGCACCATGACATACCCACGTAGCACACGCTTGACCCAACCATCCCCTACAAACAAGATCTTTCACTTGGGTTAAGAGTTAGCATACTCATCATAACTATGTTCTTAATTATTTAATTCCATATTTATTAAAAAAATATGTTAAACACATGACGAAGTTTTGGTTTAAGGATAAAAATTGTATCTAATTATTTTTTACAAGCCAAAAATTGATTATGCATAATTTAAAAGAGTGGCTTACAGAATAAAGAACAGTGATTATTTGTATCTTGTCCTTGAGAACCCAGGAGGACAAGTTGCTGCCAGTGGACAAACCAAGAATAGCTGCTTGCATGGCTCCAAAGAAGGTCATGATGGCTGTGCTAGAATACTGGCAAGGATAGCTCTTCCCTATTTTTGACTGTAGAATAAACCAAAAAGACCAAAAGAGGGTTCCCATGATCAAGGCTACTACACCAATGGTCCATTTCTGTGTTGTTCTTGCACTAGAAGCAGCTTGATCCATTGCAGATCTCATGGCTACTGGAGGAACTGCAGTTTCATGGTGAGAGACATCAAAGAAGGGCTTTCCTCTGTAAAGTGTCAACATTAATGCCCCTCCTACGCACACAAATGTCCCGAGAATCTTCGCTTTGCCACCTTTGCATTTAATGTTCACTGTTTCTAGCCTGTAGTAGGATCAAAAGAAAAGGAAAAGGGTGATGCATTTATCCTCCATTTGGCTGTTTGAATGGTGATATTTACTAAAAGAATAAGATAATATACAAAAGTTTAAAAATAAAAATTAGAAACTTCTACCAATATTTGAGTTTATGAAAAAATTCATTTTATTTTATTTTTAAAGTAGTTATGGAAAAATTTGTCTGAACATGTTCTAAAATAGTTAGGTTGTGTCCATATTCATAGTTTCATACCCAAATGGCAATGCCATAATGAAGGTCATCACCGGCACCATATTGACAAAGGCACAGGCAAATGTGGCTGAGGTGTATTGGATCCCCAAAAGGAAGAAGTATTGTGTGACGGATGCCCTACAAAAAATTGTTCATTTCGTTATGTATTTTGCCACCATCATGTTAACCAAATGGATATTGAGCTATCGGAAAATAGAATCACAAAGAAATTAAGATCTTATTTAATGACTAACCCAATAATGGCACTGAAGAAAAGGTAGCATAAAATTTGAAATGTTAGCCGTGGTCTTCTATTTCTGCAAGAAAATACAGTTGTCAAGATCTCTCTAAGTTTCATTCATGCTTAAAGGGCTCCATATTTGAGCATCAACATCCTGGATAGCAATGATTATTAGCTTAACATCGATCCTTGGTTTGAAACAGAAGTAAAGTTTAGGTTCAAGTATACTGATCATACTCGTTCATTATTGCTAACAACATAAGAAAATGTTCCAAAGATTTCATTTTAAAACCAATACCAAATTGACATTATACTGCATCTCAGTGCTGGCAATGTGAAACTTTCCAACTGCGTCTTAAAGAGATTTAGCTTGTTATTGTGGCTTGAGGAATACTTTTGGTTTACATAAAATAAAATATAGTTAAAGAAAAGAAATGGAGGGTGCCTACCTTTCCTTAAAGTAGCTGATGGGGGCCAGAAATATAGTAGAAACTGACAGACGATATGTGATAAAAACCAAATGGTTCATTCCTTCTTGAAGGACTTTCTTGAGAAGAATGTTCACCATGGTTAAAGAAAAATCAATTGCTATCATTACTAGGAAAGGTTTCCATTCATCACAATTCTTCATTTCGGCAATGCAGTTTCTGGGGCAGATCGAGTGGGGCCTCCCTTTTCAATATATTTCTCAGAAAATATTGAAATGGTTGCAATGCAACATAGAGCTATCTGTGGGTTTATATATATACATATAATTCCAGAACAAGTGGGAAGAAAGCAAGATTACTGCTTCAAATCAAACACTTTATTCCTTTGATGGTAGTTTAACGTTTGTGTGGAATATGCTCTTTTCACATGTTATCTCTAGACTGATATCTAATCCTGTTCAACAGAGGGGAACTATTTGGGAATCGTTTAAAAAGATTTTATGTTGGTTCATGAATCATGACCCTGATAAAACATTATTGGTTAATTTAGGCCACTGATTTTGTGTTTACAATTCATCTAGACCCGAAACAGGTAATGTTCTTCGTGTTTTGTTCACGTTCTCGTACCCTTGTCCGCACTTAGTTTTTTTTTTTTTTTTGAGTGACAGGCATCTTTTGGGTGGAACTGTGGCAGAAACATGGCATCTAATACTTTTATCTATCTTCAAAACATTGAAATCTTGACGAAAATGTCACATCTATATAGTCACTTCAAAATCTTGGAGAACTAAAAGGCACCCACGAGGAGATCAGAGTGACGCAAAACACGGGAAACTTTAAGTTGTAAGACGTAGCAAACATATGCCCTGGAACTTAGAGCTCACTTCACACACACATTTTCGGATTCAAATGTCACGTTCGTGGTGTTAATCATGGGTGACTTTCGGTACTTGATTTTAATATGAAAAGCCATTAGATAACCTTAACTCCAATTACACAACTTCAAATTCTCTTACCCAATACAATTAGGATTCAATTTTGATACCTTAGCAAACTTTTTACGTTATAGTTAACAGGAAAATCAATTTAAATTTCCAAATGCAATATTGCAAATTGTGGGAGCTGAATCTTTTGACCAATTGAAAATGTTTTAGAAATGTCTTAGATAATTAACTAGTAATTGTTTTTTGTTGGTTTTTACACCGTATCTACCGGTACTATTAAATAAGGGGTTTTGTGAGAAGAACGAATGACTCCATCCTGAATAAAGAAATACTGTATCCTATAATAAAAAATTTACGTTAGTCTGAAATTTTTTTAGTAGAATATTTAAGTTTTATGTTCTATTTATTAGATAGAGTTTTTCATAGCAAAATCGGTAGGGTGGAATGGAATTACTTGCTATAATTAGAATATATATTATATATTTCAGTTTATCCTAACAATATATTAACGGTTCGTGAATAATTTTATAAAATATATTTTTAATTATATGAATACTTTTATTTATTTATTAATTAATATTTTTATTAAATAAATATTAAAAATTATTATATTTATTTATATGTTAAGATAATTAATTATAATTAATAATTTAAATTTAATTAATTAATATTTATAATTTAAATTATAATATTATATTATATTATATATTTCAATAATATAATATAAAATTATAATTTTTTTAATTATAATTTTTTTATTTTTTATTTTAATTTATAAATATTTTTAAAAGGAAATCGGTTTTTATCTCATTTCTTTTTTATTTTAATAAATTAAAATTATTAATTCATCCCATAAATCTAGGTGATGCAATAAACATATTCCACCGTCACCGTGAATGTATATGGAATAAATGCCAGTTAAATTTGTGCTTCTTCTTTCTTTTTTTTTCTATGATATATTTTGTGTCACGATCTTATCTTATTTATCTTGGGTAACTTTTGTCAAATTGTTGAAGTAATTTGACTTCTTATTGAAATATCTCTAATTATAGAAATTCAGTTATGCTATAATAATTATCCAAAAAATATGTTGCATATATGATTAAACTAAGACACCTGTAAAACTAAATAAAGAAGTTTACAAGGATATTAAAATAAATAAATAATTTAAAATTACGTCTAAAATATGCACTAATCTAAAAGTAAAAAAAAAAAAAAAAAGTTTACAATAGAGGTTTAACACGAGAGAGGGCAAGGTTTAACAATAAGAGGAGCCAAAATTGAAAATATCATGTAACTAATGTGCTCAATTTATACAAAATATTTATAATAACCTTATTTTGAAAATAGTTTAACAGTATATATATTAGAAAATAAGAGACATCAAATATGGTTTTTAGGTTCAACAATACAATTATTATGTCTCATGTTAGCAATGTTTCTTATTTAATTTGATTTTCAAGATTTACACAATAGCATAATTAGATTGTGTGCTGAAGATTAGAAAGTTTACCAAGTTTGATAAATAGTGAAAATAAAAAGGTTAAGGGGGGCTCATCATGTCCCTGGTCTAAGCATTTAGCATAGCACGTGCATGCTTTCCTTTGAAGGTAAATGATGGGTGCAAAGATTCTCATCACAATCACAAATTTAGAATCCAACATGCAAAATCTATTCTCCATTAGGCAGATATTGTATGGCCACTGTCCTACAAGATCTTATCGTATCTCATCAATGCCATGCCACTCAAACAATGAAGCTAGCTTCATCAGTTAAATCATTTTCAGATTATATATTAATCATTTGGCACGTAAACATTTTTCAGGATTTACCAAAATGACTTGTTGTGAGAGATAAAATTTGAGCAAAACTAGGAATATTCTGCGTTCGAATATCTAAAGGAGCGTATCTATCGAGGCATCTCAGTACTGAAATTCCTTCAGTTTAGACCATATCATATGGAGGACACATATCTATCTTACTGTTTCAGAATGTTTGCATCATACTGTTATTATTTTGTTCTCCATTTGTTTTCTTTTTCAAACTTCTTTCAATAAAAACCAATATTTTTATAATTGGATAGTTTCATTATTATAGAATATATTATTCACGTCGTTAATGTCGGTTAATTATGAGACAATGTTGAATATATTTTTAACGTTAGTTGGTTAAAAACGATATTTAAAGTTAAATAATATATTTGACATGAAAAAGTCATATTTTAAGACTTTTAACGTTGCAGTTGCAGGTATAACTGACATTAAAAATTCATTGAAAGGGCATATCTGCAAGGGATTTCACACTATAAGAAAAAACATATTTAGCCACCGAAATTAGCGACCGATAGCAATCGATTTAATTTTGGTCGCAATTAGCGACCAATTTAGCGACCAATTTAGCGACCACTTTAATTGGTCGCAATTAGCGACCGATTCAGCGACCACTTTAATTCGGTCGTAATTAGCGACTGATTTAGCGACCAAAATATGATTTGGTTTTCACTTTTTTATTTAGCGACCGAAATAGCGACCAATATTTTGTGTCGCAAATTTTTGGTTGCTAAATCGGTGGTTATTTCATACTAAAATAAAAAATCATTTAGCGATCGATTTAGCGACCAAATTACAAATTGAAATAGTGACCGAATTAAAATCGGTCAGCTAATGACAAAATAGCGACCGAATTGAAATCGATCGCTAATGAATATTATTTTTTTATTATATTTAAATTTATTTTTTTATAAATATACTTTAATTGTTTTAGTATATTTTTTATAATTTATTTTTTAAAAGTAATTTATTTTTTAAAAATAATTTAATTTTTAAAATATACTTTAAAAATAAACTTTGGTCTCAATATTAACAAAATGAATTGTAATAAATCAAATTTATTAAAAATTTAAATTGTAATAAATTAAGACTAGAGTGATGTTAACTATTCAATACATTGTTTAAGAAAAGTTTAATAACAAATATTCTTGAATTTATTTTTCAATTGAAAATTTCAATTGAAATTAAATTATATTTTAAAAATTTATATTAAAAAAATTAAACACATCAAATTATCACATTTTAATTCCTCATTAACTTAATTAATTAAAAAAATACAATTTTAATCAAATTATTACAATTTTATTTTATAATACTTTATTTTTAATCTAATTTTTAAATTTATTGCTTTATTATTATTAATTACTTAATCATGGTTGTTGTCATATAATTGATATACCAAAAAAAATTTATATCAATATACATTAGATAATAAATATATTATTTAATTAAACTATTACTGACTAGATTTGTATATTGTAACCCAACAAGTGGAAAAACACTTTCAACACCACTTTCATAACAAACTATTTACAAATTAAACAGCTAACGAACCAATTATTCAGCAATAAATTCATGAAAATTGTAGACTAAGATGAACACAGACAGAAAGACATTGGTCTGTATTTTGCAGGTCAGCATTCGCTCAAGCGAAAATAACATCGCTCAAGCGACGCCACCTGCACAAAATTGGCATTCTCGGGTTGTATTTCGCTTGAGCGACACTAGTCTCGCTCGAGCGATATCTGATGCAAAAATGTGTCAATAAATAAATAAAATATTTGTCACTTTTAAGAGCGGTTAATATTTTCACCGTTCTTAAAAGTGAACATATAATAGCGGTTCCAAGTGAACCGCTATCTAAAATATAGTTAGATAGCAATCAAGGTTTAACCGCTTATTAGATGTTCACTTTTAAGAGCGGTTCAAGTGGAACCGCTATCATATACAACCACATTTTTTTATTATGATCGATTAAATTTTCAAATAATCGATTATATTCGATAATTTTTTCAAATAATTAATTATAATCGATTAGTTTTCTAAATAATTGATTAGAATTGATTAGTTTGTCAAATAATAGATTATAATTGATTAATTTCTCAAATATATATTAAAAAATTATAAATAAAAATATAAATTATTGAAGAATATTAACTATTGTAAAGATAAAGTAGAACATGAGAGGAGATGAGGATGATAATATAATGATAGAATTTACAAAAATGTAGAATTGAGAAGTTTTAAAAAGAAAAATTTAAGAAAATAGAGATTTAATTATACTTTTAATAAATTTAAGATAATACTAGTTTTGATTTTTATTTTTAAATATTTATTTTAATTTTTTAAAACAGAGAAACTATAATTTTAGTTTCTAAATACTAAATTTAAAGAATTAAATTTATTATTATTTAATCTTTTAATTTTAGT